CCTGTAGAAGAGCCCCAAAAATAATTTGTTTTTTTCTTCACTTTTTACATTTCAGATCATTTAGGAAATTTAGTCTCAGTGTACTTTATATGGTAACGTATCAGTGCATGCGTATCTATACTGCCTATCAGCCTTGAATCTGGTTTGCAGACTTCTTTAGGTTTATATGTTTTTAAATTCATGTTACTCTCACCAGGGCCTCAAACAAGCTTTTTCTTTCTTCGCTGGTACTTTGAGTCTTTGGCGGAGGCGTCAGAGACGTCTCAGGTTTACAACCCCCCCACCTCCCACCCCCATTCCATCTCCTGCTGTTACCGTAGTGACATGAGCTGCAGGAGACAGTTACCGTGGAAACGGGAAGCACGGGGATGCTGTTGAAGGGAAGTCACCAAGAGGAATGTGGGAGGAAGAAAAATAAAATAAAATTAACCCTCCAGACGTCCCTGAGGGCTACTTTCTTTTTTTTTTTATTCACACTGTTATTAAATCAGGTCGGAGGTAAAACCCGGGATAATTAGCTCTGCATGAACCAAGGAACTAACCTGAAGGAGGATTTATTACAGCACCGCTTCATTTAGTTTGACTCCCATTTTCTACTAAAAAATAATTTATTCAGATTTAGAGCTGAACCTGAAACTGTTCACTGTTTTTACACAAAACCCAACAAAATCAGACACACAGGGCAAAGACCCAAAGCATCAAAGAGTCAAAGAGTGAAAGACTCAAAGCCCTTTTCAGTGTTTTCAGATTAACAGTCAGTAGGATTCGGTGTCTCCTTTTAGCTTTCATGAGTTCTAACATCAGGAAGAAACTGAAGATGACTTCAGCCTGATCTAGGTAAACACACCTGAGCTCAGAGACAAAACTGCTGCTCTTCTTCACCAAGCTGGACAAAAACTCCAAAATAAAAGCACCAGAATGATGGCTTCAAAATAAAAGAACATTCCTCCAACAACGATACATTAGACTTTAATCTTTCCGAACTACTTTGGTGAAATTATTGAAAACAGAACATTAAATTATTAAAATTATTAGGAAGTGCTGAAATTAACTTAGAAAATGTGAATTTAATCCCAGATTGATGATTGTAGTGATTGTAATGATTTTAGTTCTTTTTAGTCATTCAGGAACAAAAAAATAATCCTCCCTGAAACTCTTAACCGGATATTTGAAGTTTGATTTTAAGGCCTTTTTATTTCTGTGACCTCACGGGGGCCTTCAGCTGGGGTCAAAGGTCACCTTCAAACCTTTACACGTTAGACTATAAGCTGCTGTTACTCACTCAAAGGTAAAGAAGAGGCCGCAGGTGAGCAGGATGAGGACCAGGGTCAGGTAGAAGACCCCGGTCTGCCGGGCCATCATGATCCTGCCGTCGCAGTAGAACCTGTTCCTGCCTGGGAACACCTGCCACTTCTTGCGGGGACTCCGGCTCCTGTGGCCGGGGCAGTGGGCCGGCTCGGAACCGTCTGCGGGGGGCGGGCAGCTGCCGCCACGGGTGCAGATCTGGTTGTACCGGCCCTGCTGGTCCAGAGCCGCGTGCTGGATCTGAGACATGCGTCCACACAGGTGAGCGCGCAGGTACAAAAGACTGAAACATAAACCGGAGGTGTACGCGCGCTGCCGGTGCCGCGTTCAGGGTCTCCGCGTGAATCTTTTAATAAGGAGTCGGAAAAAAGACAACGGATCCGTCATCTTAAAAGGAGAAACACGCTTTTTGTTTCGCGTTATTTTATAAACAAACACGAACTCGTGGTCAGACGCACGCGCGCTGGATCCACGTCCAAGAAGCTCCACCAGCTCCCCCGCCTCGCACCCTGATCTGCCCCTCACAGGCTGCAGTCCAGGTTTAAATCCCGGGTTAAGGACGCGGGTCCGGGTCTGAGGACGGGAGAGGATCCAGGGTGTTGAATGGTCTGAGTCTGCGAGGAGGAGGAGGAAGAGGAGCAGCAGCAGGAGGAGGAGGAGGACATGGAGAGCATCCCGATCCTCCGCAGAACTGCACAGATCCTCCACTGAGGTGGTGATCCACTCTGACAGGAGAATAAACACGGAGGAGGTTCACCTCACAGACAAAGCAGAGGATTTAGCGAGCCCTCGATAATTAATAATAATTAATCATTGTTCTACTGTACTCTCTGGGCTTTGTCTTTCATGTTACTTAAACGCTGACTGGTGAGTTTCTATGAGTATCATTCGTATTTCCGGGTTCGCGATTTCTGAAAGTAACTGAAAGTGGTCGCTTAATAGACCCTGTGCACGAGAAAATGCTAACTTCCTGGTTTGAGACCGGATGTGGGGTTGTACATTTCCGGTAGCTTTACTTTGCGGTCAATCGCTACTGCGAAGATATACTCCAAGATCATGTTCAAAAAAATTTGAAAACGGAAAGATTGCGTTAAGTTACAAAGAGCAGAAGGTGGGAACACTCACCAGTGTTGTGTCATAAAATGTCTAATGATCAATTTTGACGTTTAAAGCGTTTAGATCGATCAGTTGTTTACATCACTCAACACAAGCAGAACTGCATCACTACATGCAGAAGACACATCGTCCACATTCAGAAGCACATCTCTGCATAGTGACTGGTCTTATGATTTAAACAGGCAAATGTTCAGCATTCAAACTACAGGTGAAGAATAGTCAAACCAGATGTTTCCCCCGTTATGTCGAGATCAGCTAGTCAAGTACACACCCACACAGCATGTTAACAAACTGTGAAAAAAAGCCACACAAAAAATTAATGATTGCTGGTAAAGGTTTCTATACATTAGTATTTACAAAGGGTATGTTGTGACTTACCTTCAAAATTACAGCGGTCCCTCGCTATAACGCGGTTCACCTTTCACCTCACTGTTTTGCAGAATTTTCAGTGCAAGTTTGCATGCGTTTTTTTTTTACGTCACATTGTGTCCTGCGTCCTGATCGCTGCAGACAATCTCCTCCGTGACGTCTCTCCTGTACAGTACAGAATCGCTGCATCGATCGCTAGCAGTGTGACTCTGAGGTGCAGTACTGTATGCCCACGATGAGGACGAAACGTTTTGCACCATCAAAAAATAAAATTGGCTACTTGATTTCACCTATCGCTGGTTATTTTTAGAACATAACACCCGTGATAAACAAGGGACAGCTGAGAAATATAACATTTGAATCCCTTTTCTCTTTTGCTCTGAGGCGCGGGGGAAAAATATCGACAAGTCGATGAACATCATTTACAGATATATTGGGCAAATGCCCAAGACATCTATAAGAATGTAAATTGCCGCTTGATTCATTCATTTGCTTACACTTACATTTGTTAACTTGTTTTGGACCGTAAACAGGGCACGAATAGGACACCGGAAACAAAGCTCCCCACAGGAGTTTCCGCACCGGAAGTAGCATATGCTAATGTGCACATTTTCTTTTAAATATTAAACTTTATTAAGAAATAGTATACAGAACATGTGTACAACCAGAACAAAATTAACATATACCAGGGGGTGTAATACAAAGAATTACAAACATTCAAATAATTGGTAATTACTACAAATAGTAATAGTTTTCATAGCCTTTTTATTAAGTGATCCACTAATCAATTTTATGTAACATAAAACATCATTATAGTAATGTTTAAAATTAGGCTTTTTGTTACTGTATTTGCATTTGTGAAAATAAAATTTAGCTAAGATAACTAACAAGTTTATTATGAAGTAAACATCTTCTTTTTTTGCCTTCGAAAGAAACAAAATACAACATTTTCCCATTTCACAGTAAAGTCTTTATAGAGATGTCCAGCAATGAATCTACTGAAGTCTTTCCAAAATGTTCTAGCGTATGAACAGATCCAGAAGATGTGTTGCACAGTCTCAGGATTGTGGTCGCTGTATCAGAATCATATCCGGACTACAGATTCCTTTTTGTGTCCTTTAAAATGTTTGGGAGTGAGACTTCCTGTATGAGCCCGACATCGAATCTTTTTTAAAAATAGACGATCTTTGGTTCGGGATTCCGTCTCTGTGGTTCTTTGCTCTGTGAAAAAACAAAACAAAACTAAAAAAATCATAAAATAAAGCTGTTGTACTATTTGTACATTTAAGTTTATTCTGTGTTCTCCTTTAACATAAACACACTTGTGTTCCTAGCTGCTTTGTTTCTGCTCGGACGTTTTACGGAAACGGACCGAAGCAACATGACAGCTGAGGAAGACCTGGATGTGACCGCGGGAGCAGAACGAGATGAAGAGGCCAAACTGCAGGTGTTAAAAGGTACCTGAGGGGGTCACCTGACCGGACTGCTGTCCACGCTGGCAGGAGGTGTTCGTAGGTTTCTGCTGTTTGTTTTTCTGTTCGAGGCCACGACAATGTCGAGCTGCTGCGCCAGACTCCGCTCAAAAATCGGACATTTTCAGATTTGATTCGCTGTTAAAGGATTCCGCCGCATAGAAACACAAGATAAAGCATTTTTCCTGAAGCTTAAATGTTTTCTGCTCAGTTCCGCTCAACAAAAAAGTCGAATTGATTGGTTATTTCTGATGTAGTTACTAAATTATTTTCGTCTTCAGTCCCTTTCAGCAGATCAGACACTTGTTCTCAAATTCAAGTCAAATTATTTTAATGTCTAATCGAAAAGTAACTTCGGGTATCACGAGTTTTGGTGTTTTAGTACTTGTAATTAAAAATTATAGAAATAAAGAACTTGCTTTGAGAGTTCTGCACAGAACAAATGTGATAGGGATTTTTGTTGTTGTTGTTTTGAATTCACAGCAAGCCACCAGACCTCATTCAAAAAAACATCAGTTTTCAGGAACGCCAGCATCGAGGACAGAGACTCATGTGTTCCTGCAAATAATATCTTTTTCTAGATGACGCCAGACTCAGTTCAGAACTATTGCATTTTAAGGGTTGTCTTTATAAAGGAGCATTTGAGAAATGTTATAAAGTTATTTTACTCAGGCTGTTTAATGAATTTTCTTTGGAACAAACAGTTATTTTTTGTCTGTGAAGTTTCTCAGTCATCCAGGTCATCGTAGTCAAAGGAGCTTGCAAAGAAAA